GGGAAAACGTTACATTAATCAAAAATCAGATTTTCCAGAAATTAGCTCTCAATATAGAAGTATTTTTAAAGTTTGTGCGTGTAGAATACGCATTGCAGCTTTAAGTACCGGAACACCCTCGAAATCACACGGTCAAAAATACATATAAAGACATGCTGGAAAGCCTATTTGGTGTCATTCACGATAAATGGCTCTAAATCGCGGTTCATTAATTACCTGTAGCACCTCTGACCTTTATCATGCTGTTTTCGGTGTCCCACTATACATGCATGTGCACTCCAAAATGCTGATCTTAGATTTCACACGCGTCGAGAAAGCACCAAATTCATCAAATACCCTAATAATTTATAATGACGCTGTGAGCTAATCTGACAACAGTGGAAGTTCCACATCTTGGTCTACTATTTGGTACAAACGATAATTTCGAGGAGTCCCTTCAGTTCATCTTGGGAGTTATTTTTTTCAAATGAAACACAATTTTCTAGGTTGGACTAACTGTCCACAGTAAGGTTTCGAAAGGTAGTCAGTCATGTCTTTATATGGATGAAATGCTGATAAATTTATAGGTGAACAAACTAATCTTAGGACCCAGAGGATAGCAAAAAGTAGGGTTATTAAAATGAAGGCAGGCTTATAGCCTACTTTAACCGAATTCTACGAATTATTTTAAGCGTTACAAAAAACGCCAGGTTTACTCATAATTCACTTTAAGCGGATACAGCCAAACGCATGGAAATCATTAAACATTGGATTTGTCAAGCGCAGTTGCTTGGCAATAGCGGGAGGAGTCATCACACTGTCACAAACGAATCAGGCCCAGTCATGCCAGGTATAAGAGCACTTATGCTATGAATGACGGCAGATGGTAGGCTACTAATCGCTCTTGTCAACAATGATGCGTTAAATTTCTCAAACGTGGCTTCCCAATTATGACTTTGTCTATTTATATAGTTAATTAAACTTTTATGAGCGTAATGCGTAGGACGCAAAATTTACGCAAACCAAGAGTTGAGTGAGTAAAATTAGCTTCAATGGATTTTACTTGTAGTATAGCCGTTTCCAATATTCCATTATTATCAACATAACACTGGGATCGATTGTAAATGGACATTACAGCCAATGAGTAAATTGCAACACTTGTACCGTTTTAAAAGTGATCCTCACTCAGGAGCCTCATGATGATTGGATTACGAAACAGTCGCTGAGTTCTGTTGGAATCTTGGAGTATATTTTAATCGGCATGTTTAACCCTTTTGTAATCCCACGACACAACAAATTTTTAATAGTAACTGTAGTCAGAATCATGGGATTCGATGTGCTTCAAGTCGGATGCACTATGATCAGGAAGTAAGTAGTGACTTGGGTAATTGCTCTGGCCACCAGACCCCATTCGTGGTATTGGTAAGCTGAAATAAACAGAATCCCGTACAATTGCTTTGTACCGTAGAGCTGTAGGCCCTAGTTCCCTTTGTATGGATATTTCAGCACGCATCTGACTTTCTTAGTGTGAATGGTGGCACAACTTGCGTCCCTGGCCACACCGTGAAACCCAACGCACAACTTACCATTTGGAGGATGAACCGGTTACCTGTGTCTGCTGATGCGTTCACAGATCGACCGACCCAATCGCTTTATGGTTCCAAATTTGGCATCCAACAATCGCAAGCTGATGATGTGCATAATGTGATAAGAGTGCGACATAAGAACTTGGTTTTATTGTCATCGTTGATGCAACGTATTGTCGGACGTGCTGATGAGACTAAGCATATTTAAACAACAGTAAGAGAGGTTTTCTTTACATTTGCATGTCAGGTCTCTTTATTTTAATTAGGATGGGGGGTGTCCAGCGTTAAGTTGATTGCCGTTAATAATAATTATTATAATAATAACATAGAATATTGGTAAGGTAAGCATTACGGTTTATCTAGGGGTTATCTTGACGTATTTTTTTCACTTTTCTTACCCTTATCATTGAGAAAAAGCTAGGAATTTGAAAGAATCACTACGAAGTGCTTCTGCTTGTGCAAAATTACCTGGGACAATAGTATTTTTAGTGTTTTTTTCGTCAACACCCCTTTAGCCTTGGCCTCACGTTAGCTCAACATCTGTATTGAGACCTTTTATGCTCTGTAGACATGTTATTCTTTTGATCAGTTCCTTCTCTCACAATGGGTCATAATACACATAATTTGCATGATTTGTGTTATCTGAGTTCCCAAAAAATCCGTACTGGTGCTGCCATGTTCAATAACAGATTCAGTTAGAGGAAGAGTTTTTACACACTACTCTTTTATCAAAAGTAACAGGTTGTAAAGGCGCTTCATCACTATGCTTTAATGTTATCGAAGCCATGCACACACACTAAAAACAACAATGAATTCTACAGGTCGATTGATTTAAAAGGCATTTTTTTTATATAAATTATGATTACTTTAAGACTGCTGCCTGTAAAAAATATCAAAACACCCTCCTCTTCTTCTAGTAAAGCAAGAGAGCCTATCTCAATGGCACCTTTGACTTCAAGATAGTTTATGGGTAAATTGGCGATGGGTAGGGGTAATTTTATCGAACAGTTAGTTAAAATGGCAGGATGCAATTCTTTTTCACGTATGTAAATATTAAATGAAATTGCAGAGAATTTGATATGTTCAAATCCACGATAGGTGTGGTTGGCCGTTGAAGATCTGACGACTTCGCCAATTATTTCACGAGAAGCCAAACGTTGACTTGGTGCAAAATCGAGTCTTGGTGCCTTGCTTTCGAGAATTTCATGCAGTAAACGAGTTCTCGACACACAGTTATTATCTCACAACACGAAAGTCGGGCTGTTGGCTTAGCGTTAGCAACCAAATTGGGTACCTGAACCTTTTGCTTCTTCGTTAATGTGCGCGTGCAACACCAACGCCCTTTAGTACTGCCAGGGTGTCATTCGGCCTAGGCATTGCAGCAGACCCGAAAGCGGTCAGTGAGTCATCAGCACAGGCAAGCATCGACTTCATCTTTGGTCTTCTGGGGCCCCCCTTACCTCCGATTCTACTCACCCCTTTCGCAGCTGGTGAATCATCCGACCGATGCAACACACGTACCCACACATCACCACTCGGTACTTGTCACACGAGGCTCTGGCTCGTTATCTCACAACACGGAGTCATTGATTGGCCTCATTGTTAGTTTAAACAAAAAAGCAGTCATGTAGAAATTGTGGTGGATTATTGTAGGCAGGTAGTGCTTTAAACCATACCAGAACACGGCTTCAAACTAGTTCGGACTGCTTTTAACCGGTCAACGAAATCTAAGCATTTGTCAGCCGTATATAGCTTGTTTTTTGGGCCACAACGCTTGATGAATCGACTAAAAGTGACGCTTTGAGACTCGCTTCTCCCAACAGTTGAGAGATTAATGTGAATTTTCATTTTAGACATTAGTAGATAAAATAAATCGCAATGATTAGCTTTATGGAAACCTTTATTAGTAATATTACTAGATCTTATGCTTTCATTTCCGAAATGCCAACTTTGGCATCCTGCATAGCTGAAACATGAGAAAACTTTTTTTGTCGCGTGTGATTTAAGGCTCACTTACACAAATGAAAAATGTTTCGTGTCAAACAAGCAAATTGTTCCCACATTAATCATCACTGATTTCCGTTTTATGAAAAATCTTGGATACATGAGAAGATGCTCGTTTCCTCGAAATACGACCCACTACCATGGAACATGAGCACTGCTCACTCCTCCAGGTCAAAATTTCCTGATCAAAGCACATTTCACTGTCATAAGGGTAAGGCATTCAGGTAGTTACTTGTGCACTGTCCTAAGTTAGCGTGGTCTGTGTGAATGTACTTGAATTTAGAATTAGTCCCCATCATTTATGAACAACGTAAGTGACCCCTCACTAACAGACATCTTGGTCACGATACTTTTTCTGCCGTGAAGCTAACTTAGACATTGGTAGGACCAAGTTTTAGGCGGTGGCCTAAGAGTGTTCTACGATCACTTCACCAGATGCCACCGACAGTCGTACTATGGAGCACATAGATTCAATCTGAACAGAGTGACTTCTCGATTGGGCCTCACCATCTGCCATCGATTGTCCTTCCCCCATGCGCAATGTGTTGTTCAGAATTTCCGATTCATGAAACATTACGATGAATTATAAGGACAGTGTCAATCAGCCCGAATGGTGTGAAAATCATGTTTAGTGACAGCATTAATGAATAAAATGAGTCGTTTTGGAGAAGCTTCACCATGACAACAAGGAATGCAACATGGAAGCACCTTGTGAGAAAGACAAAGCCAAGCCAAAGAGATGAAAAATTGAGATATTTATGACGACAAGTTCTGTCACCAGCCTTTAGCACAGTCAACCGACAAATTTATACTCGGTTTTAACAGTCCGTTTAAAAACAATACAACATTTTGCTCTACAAGTTCAGAACATGTAATTACTTAATAAATATTTCAAGCTTTTGTGAATGAATAAATTTAGAATATTTGTGGTTATTACAGTTTTCAAAAACATGGTAAATAGTTAGGATATTTGAATCGTAAAAAATAAAGCGTGGTAGATAGTACGAATCTTTCCACTAGAAAGCCTCAAAGCGAGTGTGAACGTTCACTAGCTAGAAAACACAATTTTCAGCGTTTAAGACATAAATTTAAAGTGACGATATTTTGGTGTTTAATTTAGGACCACTGACACCCCCTTTGAAAATTAAAATTGAAGACGCTGCTGACCGTGAAATCAATCTCCCGCAGTACCGACAGTTTATCCAATTTTCCCTAATCCCAAACAATTTATAATGAAGAAGTCGTGTTTGCAACTGAAGAGATTAATTGGAAGCTCGATAAAAGAACGCAATTGGCAGCCATTTGAAAGATTCTAGAAATAAAAATCAGATCACGGTAAACAGTGTTGTTTTAACACACGTTAATGCAGGTAGTCTGTACAGGGATTGCAGATGGTGCGTCGCTTGTGTAGCAAAAATATCGGTCGGAAGATCACACATTTTGTATTTGAGGGAACACCGGGGATCGCATAGTGCTGTCCCCCTCAATGACAAGTGTGTGACGACTTCGGAAGGAGTCGTTGTCACGGCGGACACCAAGATTGGCGCATCCAGTTGACTTTCTCGTTGGCGGCGGTGGCAGCCCATCCACGACCCGTGGGAGTCCGGGCGTGGAAAGTGCTGGCAGCAGGGCATCACGTGAGCCCATGATCGGTGTGTGTTCGTAGGAGCCCTGCATGGCATTGCGCGCAAACAATGGCGTCGGAGCCAACTCTGACGGAGGCTTCTCCACGTCGTCTACAGCGATTTAACGAGAAAAAAGGCAACTAAAAGTAGGTTAATGTAAGGAGAACTTTACACACAAGAATCCAACGCGAGCAAATTCAAAGTAAATGATATTGATAGTGTTTTGTCTCTTGAATTGATAATTCCACCCCTCATTCAATCAAAGACTATTTGCACGTAATTAGCCTTTCAAGTAGAATTTGCGCGTTTAAAAAGACAAATTTAATCCGAAAGCACAGTGGCCTTTCAAATGCACTAATTTTGCTTGAATGACTTCCGCTTAATGTGCGCACAGTCATCAATTTTGTTTTTGCACCCTCAACTAAATGCGGCATTCCAGCACGGTAATGCCAAGGCGTTTGTCGGTTGCTGGTGTCAATACAAACGTACATGCGTCCAATCTGTTCAAACGGCTTAGAGATAATTAAAAATGCGGACCATTTCTGCCCTAATGTCAAGTTAAACTAGCGTTTGACGCTTGCAATCGAGTGCTGTGTAGGTGTGGGAAGTAGTGTGAGGCAGTTGGGATGTGCATTAATCCTCAGGAGGTGGAATTTGTCGTGTTAAACCGGTTACGCTCGGTGGTGCTCGCAAATCCATCACATTGACCTTGAGAAAGGCCTCAGTTTGGCTCACCACGGCGAAGGCGGCGGCGGCGGTGGCGATGGGGGTGCACAAGCCGATGTTCGCGTTACGATCAGAGGGCTGGGCTGCTCGTGTTGTCGCTGTGTTGTGCGTATCGTGGGAACCAAAAAGGCATTACAGCGTTTTCCCGTGGGACAATGAGACATAACGATTACGGTGACTAAGGCACATGCAATGCCTTACTGAGTTGGTGAATTCACAGTCGCTGTAGAGCAGTGCTAGACTAATACCTTGTCAAACTGCGCGTACAACCAGTTTGTGTGAAGCAGCATCAGGAACTAAAGTCATTAATGACACTTTCTTTTTCGACTATTCTGGAAAGGTTTAGAATTTTGTACTGAACTACTCATAATCCATGATAATTTAGCGCACTCATGAATAACTAAACTTGGTCAGTTATTATGCTTGGAACAACTTGCAGACTGTTTTATGCCACGAACAGCCTCAAGGAAGGCAAGCCTATGTTCTTCTTTAACTGACCTCAACGCCGAAATTCAGACTGTAGATCGACATCTTCAGGAATATACAGTCTCGATCTTCCTACGGAAAAGGGTAATGGATTGCAAATTGTATTTAATTTGACCAAGAAGGAAATGCACATGGGTTACTCCTAGTGCAGTTTTAAGACCTGTTGACGCACTCCCAATGGTTTACATGATTTTCCCATTAAATCTTTGGGTAACATTTTGCTGAAAATGAACCAGACACCTGTGGCGCGTGGATATCCGGTTATAGTTTGGTTTTTTCTAGCCAACTGATGACAGGTGAAGTTGTTGTGAATCGTGTTTTTTCAACTCCTTAATTCGATCGTTTCGCCCCCGATACAAGGCTCCCCTTCTCGAAGCATGGCGACAACCACGCAAATCCTCAACCCCCCTTCATTCACACGTATATGTACCTTGGATTAACCTGACACCTAGATCTCGATGTTAGCGCATCTATGACTCACACACCCGAGGTATAAATACACACGCGGAAAACCCGACACAACGACACCGATTCGGGTTGAGCTCTGAAGTAAACGGTTGTGTCCCGTCCGCTCCGGTCTTCTTCTTCATTGCGGGCATCAGGCAATCGTAATCAGGCCAGGGTTAATTCAGTGGCCCCGGTGTGGTTCAGTACCACATGCTGGAGCCCACAACAAAGTCATTGCCTATGACGTAGTGCTGACTGAGAACGCCGGGATGCTGAAAGCACAGCGACCACCTTCCGGTTAAGCCTCATACGGGAGATTCATGAGCCGTGAACTAAATTTCATTCATTTGTGGACGAACGTCGAAATGCTTACACATCACAAGATATATGTGATGCTATTTTCAGTAGTCTCGTCATCAGCAAACCTTGGTCTCGTTGCCACATAAAGTTGCTATCGTATGCGACTTGAAATTAAACAATTTGTGAAGTGGGGAAAAAACTGCTTCATCGCAAGTCCACACAATCTGTCTGTCAGGGTTGATGCCAGTAACGAAGCCTCTCATCACAGCCACTGGCGTAAAAAAGCAACTTTGGCCACATCGCCCATGCCAGCCGGAACACACCGGTTGCGTCAGTAAATCCTACCAGGCTGACGTAGTTTTTGTGTTTTTAAGCTGCACACATCAAGTCTAGTCACGGTGTAACTACCACTATCCCTTGGCTTCTTAATTGGGATTCTGAAGCTTTCCGATGCATGATGCCGGCTCTAATGCATCAGATGACAAGTGAAAAACATTTAACCTTCTAATTACAGCATTAGTAATTGGCGTTGCAGTGGGGACTGTGATGAAGGATGCACTAACGCGTGCTGCCACGACTTTAATTTGCCCCAAATCAAAAGGAGTTATCAGAATAATGCAGGGTTGGATTTAAAGCAGCCCATTAAGTGTATCACCATCTCACTTGGGTTTCGGAGCGAACGTTAAGTGTTAAGTCAAATGGCACTCTTTTGCAAAACGGTGAACTTGCCTTTAATTCTCCGGACTAAATTGGTTGTGTTGCAGGCATGGCCTTTATTAATAGACACGGCCACCACCACAAACCACCAGATGGAATTCAGCAGAATGGAAAATGTGTTTTTCATGGTTTAAAACAGGAAATGCAACATATAAGCTGCCATGTAATGGCGGAAGACAAACCTCAACGGAGGTAAAGCGGATTCGTTTGGGTTAGTTCGCACACGGGCTTTTGTACCACATTTAAGTTAAAAAACACGAGAACTTTTAGGAGTAGGCTCTAGCAATGCGTAAGTCAGTGGAAACAGCCCTCTACGTGACAGTCCCTATTTGCTGCTTTATCACTCTGATAAAACACTAATCAGTATTAGAAGAAAGCGTTAGTGGAAATGCGTTGAGGCATGAAAGCAAGAACTGGCACAAGATGATACTGTAACTGAGAAACAAAAGCACATTATTTAGCGTGAATAAAGGTTAAAATGCATGAATTTAACTAAGGGTGACTTTGTTTGATGACCATTCCCACTTTCATAAGGTGTGAAAGACAGACGTTTGGAGGCGTGTAGACACAACGAGTGAGCCGTGAAACGCCGAAGGCTCAGAAAGTGAAATTCAAGCGCCAAATCAGCCAGTGCTTGTGGTTTACGAGAGATGGAGTAAGTCACTTAACTCTTGGCAGCAATCAAGGTCTCTGGCCACAGAAGGAGTCACGGACACAATGGAAAAAGGGCAAAATAGCATGCATGTATTTAAATAAAGTCGGCTGCTGCAAAAAATGATTAATGTGGTTACAGATGATAGTGAGGACACCATGCAAATTAGCCACCGACAACAGTACTGCGTTAGATAAGCTCTGACGGTTAGAATAATCTAGGGATGTACAACACCTAGCCGAACATAAACGGACAAATTACCATGCAAGTAAAATCTTGGCCACCAGAAGTCATCGTCGTAGTGTCGATAATCTGGCACACAAGACAAAGGAGAAAAGTAATTGTTATATTCAAACTTCTCGGCTTTTTCCAAGGTTACGTCTTGACACCAGATAGACGAATTACTTACCAGATTTTTCGAAAGTTTCCTTGGGCACATAAGTTCCGGCAACATCGTTGGAGTTTTGCTGTAGCCGGCTCTGGGCATCACCCAACTTTTTCCACGCCCAGCAACAGGCGATCACAAAGCAGCAAAATGTTATTAAATTGAGTATGAGCAGGCAAACAATTCCAATGATGAGATTTCGCATCCTCAGGCGGTCGATATTGCCGTCGTCTGAAGGCTGTTGCTTCAGGCTTGGGGAAAGGGGGGTGGGTGTGCTGGCAGGTCTGGTGGGAGTCTGCCACGCGACGGTGGTCGTAGTGGCTTCAGTCGGTCTGAGCGTCGTGTCTAACAGCCCATACCCGGGGATCGCCCAACAATTATCGCGTTTCCTCAATTCTACAAGCGGATTAGTCAAGTCCGACTCAGTTTCACAGGAGTAAAAGTCAAGAATTTGTTGCTGGTGAACGTGCGATACGGCTGGATCCCTGCTAGCCAGTTTGTCGGCATGGGTTATCACGTAACCGGGGGTTTCCGGACATCTCTGGGGGTTACAACAGAGGCGTTCTTCACGGGGCCATCGGTAGCAAGAGTAGTGACCTCTGCAATGCAGAAATTTGACTTGCCAACGGAGCCACGGGAGCCAAAGTCGGCCAAACGCAGGATGATCGTTTTCTGTCTCGCAGTAGAAGTTCAGCCTGACGTAAACCTCTGCTAACGCGGAAACCTTGCTGACATCTTGCAAGAAACTGGTTTCCTCCAAGTGATCCGGATTCCACAGATTCAAGCCGCTTAAATTAGCAACCGTAAAAACCCTCGCCAAGTCCTCGTATGTCATTCGCTTTATTTTAACCATAATAAGTGAAAGTTTAATTTGTGTGGTAGGCGGGGGTCGGACATGCTCCCTCACAGCCTCAACCAGCCTCGTCAGTGCACCTGGAACCATGGCATCAGCAGCTATCCGGAGGTTTGGGTTATCCGTTCTGGGCTTAAGGACAACTCTGAGTGGCTCTGGATGGTTGGCTGTGTTCATAACTGCCTTACCGCCATTATTGAAAAATTTTGCCGTGATTGGGATCAGTGAGGTGCTCGGAGGTTGCCAATAGTTGCAGTCTAGTTGATGTGTAACCATTCCATTACGTGGAAGTTCGTGTGCACAGTCAAATATTTTGGTTCCATTATGAAGAGTCATTATGAAGCAGAAGATGGATGGACAACTGGGGTTCGCCGATGTTTTGCCAGACTGATCTGTCAAAGATGATTCGTGTGCAGGAATAGGAGGAAGTTGCCGTGGCGGTGGAGCTGGAATTGGTGGATCTGCAGCAGGGGAGGCTGTCGTGGCTGTGGTAGATTTTAGTGGGGTGTTTATGTGAAGATTTTCGGGCCGTTGTTGAAGAGAGTCTTCCATAGGTCCTTGTGGAAGATTAGGAGGAGAAATGGATTGATTACCATCGTTTTCTGAAAGTACCGGTAACTGGATGGTGAGGCTGTCGATTACGCTTGGCTCCAGCCTAACAGCGGATGTTAAAAGGAGTAATTGGAGAATCGTAGATAACATTTTGCCATTCACGTGGAATTACTTCACCTGCAGCAAACAGAAAACAGCATTAATTTCTGCATTCCATTCCTGAACTACAAATCGTAGTCGGTTCCAGTTATGGACAAAAGAACTAGCCCAGACAATTCACCGATTAATGGCTATTTTCTGGTGTTAAAGTGGCAAAATTATTCCGTGATTTTTGGTGGAATGAGCTAATTCCTAACCTTTTAGCTCTCTAAAATGCTGACATCTTAACATTTAAGCAAAGCACATTATCCGGTTACCATTAAATTGGTTTCTTGACATTAAAAAGATACACAGTAGTCTATAGTGAACTGATTGTAGGATGTTAGTGTGAGATTTGGAGCCAGAAAAGGCCAACTGGCTTCAAAGGCCCTTCTCAGAAGAATAATACGAAGTGGAATTAAAGATGGAAGTTGCCTTTAAGTCAAATGCAGACGATATGGGAGTGATACGATAATCCTTTATAGGTTTCACTATCCCCACGCTTAAAACTCAAGGAAAACAAAGGCGACTGTCGCTGAATTCTACTTGCTGTCGTTATCTTTCCATGGCCAACTCCTCATCTCTTTTGAATTTCGGGAAAATTTGGGAGTTAAAAGTGGATGGCCATGTATAAGAGTCTTTTTTAGTTTATGAAAGCACACATACCACCTCTTATCTATAACGTACCGATTCGGCTAAACAAACATGACTTTTCGCAACGTGTCGTTGAAGTGCTAATGTAGGTCACTCAGTGGGGTCCACAACACAATGAGGCAACACCCACTAAGTGTCCGTCGACGGTGATTCACAAGATGTCCCAGAAACGGTCCCACCTCTAGGCCGTGCCCACAATTTCCGATTACTTGTGCAGGTGGACCAGATACAGTCTTCGAATCAGGTCCAACTTCACATCTTAATTCCGATTTCCTAGAGCCTTACACATTTTACTATATTTAAATCAGCTGGCACAGAGTAATTGACAGGTTATCGGAGAATCACCAATCCAATTCAATAAAACAAAAGCCACATGCGATTTCGGAATTTAGCTCAATTTAGGAATATCGCCAAAAAGTACGCATCAGTGCCAAGTGGATTCGATTACCAACTGACACAGAAGTCGGAATGAAAATGTAACAGAAAAGTCACTTGTGGTAAAAATAATCTAAAACAGATTAGCTGAGCTGGCTAGACGTTAAATTAAATAAGTATTGGATTTAATTCAATTATCGGTCACAGTGATTAAAAAGGCTACTAGAAGACGAAGTTACAAATAACAGGAAGTACCAAAGTTAGAGAAAATTGCCAATCACTAAATAAAGGCTCCCGGCTATGATATTAGCGACAGTTCACTCAGTGGCATTTCGTTTTAAGATACTTCGTCCACACATGTTAATCGAAAGTAAAACAGCCCGCATCACGCGTATTTGGTTACCTATATCTGAATAAAATCAGTGTTTTGTGCATTACATTAATGTATGGAGGATACAGCTTTTCTGGGTGCCAAAACTATTCGCTTCACATATACCGTTTTTTCTTTTTCGAAGAGGCACTACCTAGATTTCTGTAGGCGTAGACCATTCAGACTCCACGAAATTAGTGATGCTAGGTTTGTGTGACTGACAAGTTGTGCTTTTAACACGTAAAGGGGAAAATACCGATAGAGAATCATCCAATTTTATTATTAATTTTATGAGGCATTAAAGGTCTAAAGATCATATTTGTGATCAAACAGTCTAATGGTAACCACAACCAGACCTTTTTTGCAAACAATTCTTCAACCTTTTTAGTAGTAATAATCAAATTTACATGTGATAGTCACGCATTTAATGTGACTTCTTTAAGACCTAGAATCAGAAGCGTTAATTTCAGGAGTGTCAGGTCCCAAAAGCACTCTACTTCAGCCACATTGAACAAGTCTTGTCGAAGATCGCCATAACAGAGACCCCAGCTTTTCTTTCGCTTAACCAAAATTTAGACTCCTCTCAACACCACAGATGTCACATCATGGCGTATAGGAAACTTTCTCCTGTGTGGGCTATTCCGTTTGAAAAGTTGCCGATTTTTACCCAAATCCCGTGCTTGCAGAGTGTAAATAACGCCAGTATTAGCAATAGTGGATATGCGCGCTGAAATCGAAAAACAGCAAGAACAATCTGTCACGGTTGATATTAATAGCGTTATCCACTATTGGGGAGTTTGAATAGCGGTTCGGCAAAACCAGTATAGTAAAACAACAGGTTATAAAGAAACAACACGACAAACGTTACACAGAGAGAGAGGCTCAAATTCCAGAAAAACACTGCATTTAATTTGAAATTATTGTGTTATCTGAAAGTCGTCTGCCATCATTAAGCAAGAAAACAGTTTTGATCTATTTTAAAATCACAGATACCTCAGGAACTCAGGATTTGCATTTGATCAAGACGCTAATCCCAAGCAGAGGTCTCACAGCTCAATTTAAGGAGAATTCGGTTCATCATGATGTTGATCGTGAGCACTAAAACCCGAAGAACGGTTGAACACGCATCATTTGGTTACAGGTGTGGGAATCTGATCGTTACACTGACTGCCTCTATATGCCATTCATACACTGCACGCTGCTCTTTAGGGGGCCGAATATGTCGGCTATGCAATGCAGCCATTTTACTACGAACTATCTCACCGCCTTCTGGCTATCGAATTTCAAATCAGCCACATTAAGTTACAGTGTTTCGCTAACGTACAAAGGTGAGTTGAAATTTCCGAAAAAACAAACTCACTAGTACTTATCCCACTTTCACACGACAAACCGACATGCCATACTGAAACCCGATTTTGCGAATTATTGAACTGAGTTTCACCCTACTGTCCCCAACTCCTGCTAGTTCCTTCGCAGTCCATTGCCTAAAACGTATTCTTTATAGTTATGAAAACTGAAAGAGCAGAACATCTGGACACCAGAAATTTACATTATGAAGCCCACCCCTCGTAAGCGCAAAAGGCACTTTTTACTGGCAGTTCCAGTGACCAACCGAAAGAAAACGATCTTCCATTTAGCCAGATATGTAAAGTCACGTGTCACTTTGGTGGCCTTCCGTCCCAGTGATTTAAGCTTTCGACCAATTCACTACTGATAAAATCAATGGTCACAGATAAATTTAGAAGTTTGGGGATTTGTGATGTGATTAAAAGTTTGCCCGCTGTGCGTGTGCACACAACCGGCACGTTCCCCAAATTCCAGCTGCACACTGGATAGCGGCCACTAGCTTACAATTGTTTTCAGCCAAATTGGCAACAAAAGCCTGTGTGATAGATAATATATAACTGAGGGGTGCGACAAACGCAGCAAAAGTTTGTTATAGACATTATTAGCTGACAAGCAGCGTTTTTTGTTATTGACCTGGAGGTATTTATGAAAGTGTTACAACTAGACAATGAAAATAAAACTTGGTATTTACAATCATACTTTACACAAATCTGCACGCAATTCCAGAAGTCTGTTTCCGTTTACGTTCTCTGAAGTAGCTGCCCAGATCCTGTATTCTTGAATTTTACGATCGGTAGCTTGAAGCAAGTGTCAGATCCGCTATATGGCTTTGCCGCATGACTCATGGGTTGCATGTGGGGCTCAGGGGAACCGATCGATAACGCATGTCTGTGTGACTACACCCATTTGGGCTTCATGTTTCTCGTAACCCCACATTAGGATTCACTGACATGGGAATTCATCAAAACCAGCACCACAAACGCATCTTGGTTACAAGGTTGAACTGCACTGTGCATCTAGCGCCTGCCGTAAGACATTGCACTTCCAATTTTTCAAAGTAACAGCACCAAATATACCACCAGTGCAAAGCCCATTTAACATTGGTTTTCGCTGCTTGAGTTCGACTTGCCACCACCAAACGTAGTGGTGTTTGTTGTTTACCTTGGTTTTCAAAAAATTCCTTAAACGCCTGCAAAACTGTGTGACTGCCGATTTTTTGACACTTTTGCTAGTGCAGATTATCGGGTTTTGCAATAATCTACTTAAATATTGACACATCTTCCTTAGACAAACATTTCGCATTGTTAAACTTATGAACTGTGTGGTTTTATGGGCGGCGTGTTTTAATCAACCCTTTTGCACACAGATTGATCTACTGTGGTGGTGCTTTACGTCTTGTCACCAGCCAATGCACTCTCGACGAGCCGCGCGTAAAATGAGCGGAGCTTGGGCAAGCCGAGCAGACAGACGGGATGAGAGGATTGCGGACCGAATTTAAAGTTCTCAAGACGGCAGATGTCAAATAAGGAATTGAAAACTACAACACTTAGAATACTGAAAGAAGAGTTAGGTGGAAAGGACACATTAGAGATATGTCTGATTGACACAAAGCCGTGAACAATACGACCTAAATCACGGTGTCAGCCGTCAGCAGAATTGCAGCATCTGTTTTTTGCATATAATGGTTACTAAATTTTATTACTGTGGTGTAATAAAAGCAAAGTCAATTGCATTAAAATGCAGACCCCAAACAGTCTTAATTTAAGGCCTATTTTCAACAAACTATTGTCAAGGTGACCCAACCACATGTTTTGTGTCTCTTAATGACAGCCCTCAAATGTCTACACTTGGCATTCTTAAACATTCTCTAAAAAAAATATTTAAATTTCCTAGTGGTTCATTGTGCTTTCAAAAAACTCAATTTCGGTTAGGAAATCGAGCTTTAATATTGCTGTGTCTTAGAAAACATTCCAACGATGTCCATCCACTGTTCCATTCGGTACTGGCAGTTTTCCAATTTAGGGCAACAATATATTCGCTCATGAGCGGCGCTATTTGTGCCTTGAAAAAAGAGCTCTACCAAACCTCGCGAAACCAACATTTTAACATTTGTCTGCACAAGGTGTGTGTGTGTGTGTGAACAGAAGCCTTCGTGTGATGTACTCTTGCGGTCGGGGTGCCTTGTTTTTCGGCATTGGTCCACCCGATCGCCGCTGCAGACAAAATTAGTAGCGATCGCACGCCAGTAGAAGCCAGCCCTTTTAGT